ATTCTGCAAAATACCGACTTTTCGGTTTCACAGAAGAAAAACAAACTGGTTTCGAACAACAAGTTTGGGTAAACTATTTTTAAAAATCTTATTATTTTTCTTCTTTTTGTACTTCTCATTTTTGCACACAGACGGCGAGGTGGCCAAGTGACCTTCAGATTGAAGATGTCACTGAATAACAAAGAACCACTTCTGCTTCTTTATCGCTCGCTCTCTCACACACATTTCACTTTAGTTCAGCAGAGCACAAATCATCGAAATCTCTCCTGCTTCCAGAGCCTCAAAAACAATTAACCTCCCCTGCAAAGAAACACACACACACACACACACACTCAGAGTCACAAAAACACACACAGACAATAGAAAACTCAATGAACTGCTGTCGACCCAGGCACAAAAAAACCCCCAAAACATCAGGCTTCTGTTACGATGTGTTTAACAACCTCTACTGAAACACGAGCTGCTTTAATAGAGTAACTTCATCAAAAAATCTTTAGCAACATCTGCAGAGTTGATAAAAACCGCCATTAATTAATGCAAACCAATAATAACAGGCAGGACTGCCAGTTCACTGATATCACTGCATTATTCCACTCAAATCAAACAAACCTCTCCATTCCACCCAGGGCATTGTGGGTCAGAGCGTGCTTATAAGCGCCTGTAAAAAAGGCTAATGGGATGGTACAGAGAACAGACCGGCGATGTTTGCATGCATGTAGGTTGGAAAAAGTTACGTAATTTTACACATCACTCTAAAAGACATTTCATGAAGTTTTAGTGTTTTAATGCATGTACAAAAGCCTCTGGTCTGCATTACAGCCGTGAGCTCATATTGCTGCCATACAGGATCACACTGCATATGGATGGGTCTGCTGCACACTTAATCTGAACCTTATTAGTGTGAACAATCTTGCAGAAACACACTTTTGACTACAGGCATAAAGTCTGGTCAACCTTGCAGCATTTCGCAAAAAGAACTTAGGAAAGGACTGTCTAACAGAAAAATAAAGTTACCAATTAAAGTTCACTTTTTCTGTGATTTTTTAGAGGGAAGGAAAAGTGTGATTTAGATATAACAATGAAAGCAAAATAAATATATAAATAAATGAATAAATCAGTAAATGAATGAATGAATAGGGTTGGGTATCGATTGGGTTTTTTACGATACCGGTGCCAAATCGATACTTTTAAAACCGTACCGGTGCCTAAACCGATACTTTAACATTAAAACGATCAAAATGGAATATTATTTAACATTACTGCTAGTTAGCAAACGTTACTTAATTTAAATAATTGCATAGTTAATGCAAGCCAATTCCATGTCATTTGAAACACTCACTGACATAATATAGCGAGTTTGGAGCAATAGCATGGTATTAATCTTATGAATTTTCACATTTTGATGCTATGCCAGAATTAAGGCCCGTTCACACCAAGCACGATAACTATAAAGATAACAATAAAGATATAGTTCGAAAAATCGTTCTCAATATTAAAGAATAGCATAGCTCACACCAGAACTATAACGATAACGATACAGAGGAACGATATCGTTGTGATCACTTTCAAAACGATTTTTCTCCAGCTGATGAACGATAAAACACTGACAGCCAATTAGAATCCATCTTGCTGTAACTAGCTCAAGAATTTAAAGCGGCAGACGCATGTGCGCTTAGAATAAACAGATGATATCATTCGCTGGTGTGGACGCTAATATCGTTATCTTTATAGTTATTGTTCTTGGTGTGAACGGGGCTTTAGGTTATATAAATAACGATATATCAGTAATGAGAGGACTATATATATATATATATAAATATATATAGTTACCCTTTTTTGGTCATACCACAAAACACACAAAGCCTCAATATAAAAGAATTACTATAAAACGGAGTATCATTTTCTTGCTATTTGGTGCCTCAAATAAAACTTTTGAATATCTTTTAACTAAATCTAACAATCACCAGAACAACAAAATATTTTTTTGTCAAAATAAGAATACATCTACACTCTTTTGTCCTAGCACTAACACACAAACTTTACAATGTGTAATATCAGAAACAACAGTGTGTGATAAAGCAGTAGCCTGACATTCACATTCACATTACGTCACCCTCTGCCTTTTACTCTCATGTTACACAACGACGCAAATGGATGAGCTGCCAGATTCAGAGAAAGCGCAAATAATCCTTCAACAAATCACTTCCACAGAATACTAAAACGGCCAGATACACACAAAACGAGAAAGCCAGATCAGATCCAGAAAATCTAGAAAGAACCATCATCTATACACATTATTTGTCGACTGATATGCATGTTGGCTAAACCGCCTCGCTAAATCAATCCCAGACATTTAAAAAATCAGAGGTTAGCTCAGTATCGTCTTCCAGAGAACCAGACCTCGTCTTTCCAAAGAGGCGACCTGCAATTTCACCCTCTCCTCTCCAAGCAAGCATTCAAAAAATCTGCTGCCAAGACCATCAAAGCCAAACAATGCCGCTGCATAATCAATCAAACCGCTCAACGACAGAAAACAGTAGGCCTAATTACACAAATTACTGTAATTACCATAAATAATGACAAAAAAATGCACGCCAGCCACAGTAATTTCCCACAAACGCATTAAACAAATCATATAACATTTAGTTCCCCTCAGTCGTCATGATTGTGTCTCTTACAGTCAGAAAAAAAGCCCCAAACGCTACATTAGTATTCAATGTGTGGTAGCCTCATCAAATGCTTTATAAATCACAGTCTGTGTGGCTGAAAGCCCAACCTTACAGACGGTGGATAAAACATGCCTGCGCTAATAAATCGTTCAAAGAGCAGAGAGAGAGGGAGGACGACATAGAGGGCAGTGAATGGAGACCAAGGCCCAGATGTCAATAAGGAAAATAACCACAGATATGTATTTGGTACTTCATATAGCTGTGGGTTTCTTCTACAGACGTAGAAGGTTCGGTTGCCAAGTCTTTTGTAGATATTTATCACAGTTTTTTCCCCATCCATGTGCCATCACGTGTAATATTCTTCACATTTAAAGGGACAGTTCACCTAAAAAAATCTGTCATTATTTACGCACCCTCATATTGTTCCAAACCTGTATGAATTGCTTTCTTTAGCAGAACACCAAGGAAGATATTTTGTCGAATGTTGAGAATCAAAACATTTTGGTCCCCTTTATTTTAAATTGTGGACAAAACAAAATAAAACAAAATGAAAAACACGTAACAAAACGAATAGTAAAACAAAAGCACAGCAAAGCAAAACACACAGACACACACACACACAAACAAAACAAAAAACACTGAGACATTTTTTTCCAGAGTATCTTCTTTAATGTTCCACAAAAGAAAAAAGTCCTACAGGTTTGAGAAATGATGCCCATTTTAATTTTGGGGTGAATTATTCATTTATCGACTAAGGCAAACATATTTGATACAAAATTATTATGAATTTTTGTTTTTGTGGCAGATGCCATTTTATTGAGTGAAGGAGGCTGACTCATCTTGAGTATAATGCTACTAGCGCAATAATGCTTCTGCCGTAATGAAATGTGCTCTTTGTCGCAAATATTTAAATAATAAAAAAACCAGCTAAATAATCCCTCTGTCAAGAAAAAAATATATATCCCAGTGTAATATTTTATCTGGTGTGGGTGTTTTAAAGTCTACACTCAGTCCAATGGAAGCAGTGGATGAAGAACAGAAACATTTCACTGTGCTTTTACTGTCCTCTGCTGTGAAACTCTGGAACTGTTACAGCGGTGGCTAAGCCAGGTCCAAAAATCACCAGCTATTTTATTGTTAGTGGCTGGTTTTATTGAACTTGTCCAAATTTAACACACTGTGTATGGCTGACAGTGAGAGTATGACACTTCAGTCACCGACAGCCCTGTGAGTCAGTCACACAGTAATCTCACATAACAATGGCTTTCAGCCATTTCAGCTAGTTTAACCAAGGAAATATTTGCACATGCAAACGAATTTGGTACGGGACCCTTACTTCAGAAAACCCAGACAAAACAAACATTCTGAAAGCACTAAATGAGAGAGAAAAAAATGCCTCTGGCATGTAAATAAAAAGTTACTCACCAGTTGGCTGCTAACTGTATTAGTAACAGCAACATTATGTTTTAAGCAGTCTGACCTCACCTGAAGTGAAGTGAGTGATTCAAATCATGAACATAACCAGCTACAAAAAAAATAAAAATTGCAACTTGCACATCTTCTATCTTCCAACAACTTTCCCTGAGTGGACAACTTTACCATCAGAGGTGTATTTATTTTATTTATTTCCTGATGTTTGAAATGGACACTGTGACCAACTTTTCTTCTATATCAGAGTGAGAAAGTCTATTGAACGAGAGAAATATGTGACCCTGGACCACAAAACCATAAGGATAAGGATAGGACAATATTTGGTTGAGATACAACTATTTGAAAATCTGGAATCTGAGGGTGCAAAAAAATCGAAATATTGAGAAAATCGCCTTTAAAGTTGTCCAAATGAAGTTCTTAGCAATGCATATTACGAATCAAAAATTAAGTTTTAATATATTTACAGTAGGAAATTTACAACATATCTTCATGGTACATGATCTTTACTTAATATCCTAATGATTTTTGGCATAAAAGAAAAATCAATAATTTTGACCCATACAATGTATTTTTGGCTATTGCTACAAATATACCCCAGCGACTTAAGACCGGTTTTGTGCTCCAGGGTCACAAATATGTATGTATATGTGTGTGTGTGTGTGTGTATATATACATACATACACACACAAATATACATATACATGTATATATAGACACACACATACTGTATATATATAATTTTTAATTTTTAAATAAAAACAAAGCACATTTAGATCATTTAATGGTCTAAAAAAAATTTACATTTTCTTTATTTACCAGCAACTGGAAGGAGTGGTAAAATGTAACATTTGGATGCTGTACATAAGTTAGCACACACTATAATATGAACAATGGACTTACCTCAGGTTGGATGGCTTTGAACACTGGAGCATCCATGAGAGTGATCTGACCCTGCAGGGCAACACAGATGACATCAGCACACAAAATATAACATTATAAATGTCACATATGAAGGAAGACACTGTTGACACTAGACGTGACGTAGATGCTACCTTTGAGATGTTGTAAAATAAGCATTTATTACAGGAGAGTTTCTGTATTTATGGGCTTATTTGAAACCAGACTCGACTTCACGATCCATCCTAACATGAGTGTGTGTGAATGGTCTACACGCTGTCTAACAGACACATGAATAATAAATCATCTTTTGTCCACTGCTCAGTTGCCATTCACAAGACATTTTCCACACATGCATGAATGTTGCGTGTGTGTGCGCATAAATAAAACACACTTCAGCACAGGCTTGAGACTGCGATTGGGATGATGTACTGTATATAGGTTAATAGATTGGGCCATAAATAAATAAAGCACAGAAAGAAACTCTGTACCCCAGATAAAGACACTTTCAGGCAGACGTGTACAGAATCAGGTCAGCGCATTTACATCAGGGTAGAAACACAGAGAGCGTCCTCTGGTGACACTATCAGATATGTCACACGTATTTATTACACTGCTTCCACTGGTAATAGAAGCTTTGCTTGGTTTTGGGCATCTGACTAGAATTTACAATCTAGTTTTGCCCTTCGTAGCAGCTCAGGTGTTTCATTATTATAAAGATGAAGGAAACTGACGGTAAAAAAAAAAAAAAAAAAAATTTAATAAAATAAAACACTTACTGATTAACTTAACTTTTATTTGATAAATCAACTTTAATGATCAACCTTGATTTGATATTGAGAAAGTTGAGTTTTTATTCATTAGAAGAGTGAAAATTTAACCGTAACACAGCTTTCTGTGACTCATTGGTTTCACAAGATGGATTGTGCTGCTCTATTAATTCTGTAAATGTTCTCCTCTAAGAAAATAAATGTGTGTAACTTTTTCCAGGCAGCTCTTGTGTTATATCATCCCCTCAAATCAAATCAAATCAAAATCAAACTGAATCAAGAAACTGCAAGCCAGAGTTGAATCAAATCAGTGAGATAAACCGCCCTTATTTAGTCATTTGATTTGTATTAAATAATCAGTAGTGTGTGAACTACGCCTTCTCATGTGAAGAGATTAGCCGGTCATAACAGATCATTTACATAAAGTCTAAAAGGTACAGTAGCAAAAACAGCCTGTTTGATTTCATTCTGAGGATCATAAAGAAAGTAGTAAATGATCATGAAAAACTCATTATGAGTGTTTGTGGTGCAAAAAACTTCAGTAACATTATAAGTGGACTACAAGGAGAAATTCAATGCTAAAATCAAGTCAGTTCTCCAGCTGCGAGTGATTCATCACAGATTGCTGCTTGGTTAAAGCAAGTATGAGTCAACAAGCGGCTGTGTATCTTTTCCTCAAGTTCAGAAGAGAGTTCAGCTGGGAGTTTCATTTGAAAGCGAGTCCTTGTATCACCGGAGAGAGGAGAGCTTGATGGCCTTGCTCGGATTCTGGTGTTTAATTTAAACTCTAGAGAGCATCGCTGCCTGCACAACTGTCTGCCAAACGATCATTAATTATTACTGAAACTGTACTGAAGTATTTACTACTCTCTCTCTCTCTCTCTCTCTCTCTGTGTGTGTGTGTGTGTGCTCAAATCTCTTTCTGTTTTCCATGTGTTTTTCTTAAGTTTATACCTGGTAGCAGTGCCATTGCTACAAATCACAAGAGATTTGTGTGGGTGGTTGCCCTCCTTCATGTCTTTTGAGTATGTTATATCATAGAGGACTTATTGGGCCCCTTCATTATAGTGTCGGTGATGGATTAAGTAATTGGATCAAAAAACATATTTATGTACATACAGTGGGTACGGAAAGTATTCAGACCCCCTTAAATTTTTCACTCTTTGTTATATTGCAGCCATTTGCTAAAATCATTTAAGTTAATTTTTGTCCTCATTAATGTACACACAGCACCCCATATTGACAGAAAAACACAGTGTTGTTGACATTTTTGCAGATTTATTAAAAAAGAAAAACTGAAATATCACATGGTCCTAAGTATTCAGACCCTTTGCTGTGACACTCATATATTTAACTCAGGTGCTGTCCATTTCTTCTGAGCATCCTTGAGATGGTTCTACACCTTCATTTGAGTCCAGCTGTGTTTGATTATACTGATTGGACTTGATCAATGCCTTGGCAGAGGGAGTCAATGGGCTGTAGTCATTTGGAGATAAGGTTAGGTAAATCTGGGTATCATCTGCATAGCTGTGATAGGCGACAGGACAACTTGAGGATGTTAAATGAATAATTCACCAACAAATGAAAATTATGTCATTATTTACTTTCCATCATACCATTTCAAAACTTTCTGTTTGTTTGTTTTTTGAACATTTTAATTTTTGAGCTAAATTTCATGTGAGCACTGAGGGACAAAAAAAATCAGTTGTTTTCCCCATTCAGTATAACAATAATAATAACAACAACAACAACTAATAATAATAATAATAATAATAATAATTATTATTATTATATTGCTATAATATTGTACTGTAAAATAAAAACAAGTATGTATCAATACTACTACTACTACTAATAATAATAATAATAAAAGTATACTAAAAGTAATTAAAATAATTGATATTATTATTACTACAAATATTTTATTATTATTTAAATTATAACATTTAAAAAAAAATAAAGAAATATTACTTTGGCAATAATATCACTGTACCATAAAATTAAATAATAATAATAATAGTAGTAGTAGTAGTAGTAGTAATAATAATAATAATAATAGTAGTAGTAATAATAATAATAATAATAACAATAATAAATAGTTTTATTTTTAATCATCATTATTATTATTATTATTATTATTATATACTATTTTACAGTATAATAGTATTATTGCAATAGTAATATTTTCCTTTATAATAATAATAATAATTATTATTATTATTATATTGCTATTGCAATAATACTGTACTATAAAAATAAAAATAAAAATTATTTAGCAATACTACTACTAATAATAATACTAAAAGTCTACTAAAAGTAATAAAACATTATTATTAACAATATTTTATTATTTAAATTATAACACTTATAAAAACAAAGTTATATTACTTTGGCAATAATATCACTGTACTATAAAATAAAAGCATTTATTAATAATAATAATACAATATTATTATTATTGTTATTATTATATACTCTTTTACAGTGTAACAGTATTATCGCAATAGTACTATTTTTCTGACTTACTGCATATTCCTCCGGCGTGACCTTCAGCACGTCGAACACCACAGCATCAAAACTCTTGAGCTCTGAGGGGCCCTTCTCACTGAGGGACTCAGAACTGCTGCTCCTCTGGAGGAAACAGTGAGAGGATTGGGGGAAGAGAGATGATGAAACACATACAAATGAGTGAAAGGAGGTTTTTGTCATCTGAAGCAGGCAAACAGCATTTGTGCGTTCGCTGACCTCTGAGGCCGGGGTCGTGAAGGTGGAGACGCTGGGCTGGCCATTGGGGACGTCCATCATTAACAAACCATCAGACTCTACAGCAAGAGCTCACTCACCATCGTCATCCTCATCAGATCGCCTGTATGGCCCCCTGCACACACAAACACACACACACACACACATTACAGATAAGTTGTGGATTTTGGCTTTGGCGATTCCTAAATGCACAAATCTAGTGTTTTCTAAATGAGCGCAAGCTGCTCAGATCCACAGGCTCCATAAACCTACCCAAAACTATAATACTCCCACTTCAGTGCTTGGATAAGATTGTGTTAAAATAGAGTTTTTCATTATTGCCAAACACAATGTTTCTCATTTATGCCAGACAGGTTCACTTTAGCCTCTGCTCTCATTCATCAGCAGCATATTCATCCAACAGTTGTTTTTTTTCATATTCACGCAACAGTTGAGAGTGAGACAGACAGAAATATTCTTCTGGAAAATGCTCTTTTTCTTCTTGAATTATCTCCATATTATATCAGATTATTTCCAACAGGATTCAGGTTTTTCACAAGAAATCAGTTCCAATTACATACAAAAAAAATAAAAAAAATAATATATATATATATAATATACATACACACACAGCATAAATGAGTACACCCCTCTGAAACTTAACAAATTCAGCAATTACTCTTTGCTTAGAAGACATGTTATGGTTTTTTAGAGATATAATATTCCAGCAAGTCTGCTTGATCAGTTACCAAAGAAGAATGTTAAAATTAAATTATTCAAGAAAATACAATTTTCTTATCAAAGTGATGAAATGTTGTGTTGCAAAAATTAGTACACCCTCCTGAAAGTAAAAAAAATAAAAAAATAAAAATAAAATTCCAAACAAAATCTGGTGTAAGGTTAAGGCAAGTATTGATCAACAGGTAAGTATGTTGAACCAAAACTGTTGGCAAGTAATTTCTTGATAATTAAGTGTTATATGGCCCACTGAATCATACTCGGACTTAATGCTGACAACAACGAAACCACTTGAGAGAGAACTGTCAGGAGATTTATTTCTTAGCATAAAAGAGGACAATGGTACGAGAGGAATACCAAATTATTGTTTTAAGTGTGAAAATATGGCCAAAGTAACAGAAATTCAAAAACAATGGACTTGTGAAAAGGCCCATGAAATAATCAGGTCTTCACTTTAAGCTTTCATTTAGTGCTGAGTGAGTGTTTGCTTGAAAAAGAGCAGGAGAAACAATGTGAAAGTGTCTCAGAGCCGGCAAAAGCTGTGAAAAGAGTGACACTTTATCTCACAGAGTATGACGCAGCCTGCAGAAGTGACATGCATGGTTGTTTATCCACACCAGAACTACCGACTGTAGCCAAAGCACAAACTCATTTAGCTTTTTCCAAGACCCATATTTACAAAATATAGACATAAACCTGAAACTGAAGATGCTACCCTCTTCTCATTCCCTGCATTGTTGGGCATTTTTTTAACATTACAATGAAGATATTCATTCTCCTGAGGTGGAGATCCTTCAGTGGACATGTATTTCACTCAACCTTAACACTCTTGAGCTGCTGTGAGAGATTCTGTAGAGATGAGCAACACTCTCCATTAAAGACCAGGGCATTTAAGGAGGTCGTCCTCCAGGAGTTAAACAGCACAGATGTGAAAATTTGTCATGAACTTGTACACTCAGTGCCAAGAAGTGTCAGAGCAGTGTACTTAGAGTTATGGAGGACATATTAAAGTTCTAGAATATTACAATTGGTTGAATTAAATCTAGGTTGTACTCAATTCTGCAATCCTTAAACAGAAATTGTCTGAGTTTCTTATTTTACAGATATTAAATGGCATGTATTTCTCCGTTTTTATTAAGAATACGTTTAATACATTTCAATGTTGCCATCTCTCTATGAATTATATTAGTGATCATTAAGCAAATACATTTTATATTTAATCAGAGGGGGGTGTACTCATTTATGCTGTGCACTGCATGTACAGTGGGTACGGAAAGTATTCAGACCCCCTTAAATTTTTCACTGTTATATTGCAGCCATTTGCTAAAATCATTTAAGTTAATTTTTTTTCCTCATTAATGTACACACAGCACCCCATATTGACAGAAAAACACAGAATTGTTGACATTTTTGCAGATTTATTAAAAAAGAAAAACTGAAATATCACATGGTCCTAAGTATTCAGACCCTTTGCTCAGTATTTAGTAGAAGCACCCTTTTGATCGAATACAGCCATGAGTCTTTTTGGGAAAGACCCAACAAGT